ATTCCTTTTCAGGCTCTATCCACCACGAGGCCTGGTCACAGACCGGGCCTCGGGGGCGTTGACCCCCGGAACTCTCTCCAGGTAAACACAAATAACCCGCATATAAAAATAATAAATCAATAATAATACATTAATAATAATAATAATAATAATAATAATAATAATAAAAATCTATTATACAGTACTTCTATTATTATTACTACTGCTACTATTACTGGTAATATTACTAATAACGATGATAGTAATCATCAACATCATTATTCATCAGGAGCTTGAGTACGGTACACAGGTGAACACTATACACAACAATTATGGATCTACAGCGGTTAAAAAAAGGTACTCCAAAGGTCACAACTACTCCCGAGTTCAAACTGTCACTCTCCAAAGGTTAAGTTATTGTCCTCGAGAGTGCAATCAGTTATTCAAGGACAGAGACCTCAAACTTACTCCAAGGACACCAGTACACCGTTCTTCCTTTTTTAAACTCCATCCCATCCCTCTTTATAGAATTACTTTCCCAACTCCATCACGTCTTTTTTTTTTTATTAAATTTTCACAATTCTGAACACCGATCTAAGCCTTTTTTTTCTTCCTCCCCTCCGCATTCTATCCCATCCCATTTTATTTTATTTCAACCTTCTATACTCCATCCCATCCCTCTGTTATATTCCATTCCATTCCTCACGGGTAAGAGACGCTTGAACCACCATGAGATACAGACTATACACCGTGTACGATTTTTATTTTTCAATGGACGCACTTCAAACTCTTGATCCAATAAACTGAAGCTTGGATCAGATCCGGTTACTTCTCTTTTCCCAAGGCCCGTGTGGGTTTAGAGTTTCCCCCATGTTTTGTACTGTAAAAATAAATTGAGACAGTCGGTGTTGTGTCGATCTTGCAGATGTGATCTTACGAGGGTGGTACCTTCATCCCGGTAAAGGAGAGCTCAGGTTCAAGAAACCGGAGCTATTCTTCCCTTCCTGGATGACTTCCTTTCTTCCCAAAGGTTTGGGCGCTTCCCCATTTACGCAATAAACTATTGCGGCCCCCAATGGAAATAAGTCACTTTGACTTTTTTTTTGGATCATCCTACATAATTTATACATATGTTAACTATGTATGATAATTGTATTTATGTGTATGCTACACCCAAATCAACTTAATTAGCAGGTAAGGAAACGGACTATAAATCGCGTGCAAAAAAGATCGTTATTATTATACAATGTTTAGGCCCTAAATAGTTGTTTAGAAAGGACTTTTCATGGATATGATAAAAGTCCTTAAGGACTTTTCAAATCCATGATTTATATAGTCATATCCATGACTATATTGCTTCGTCAACATCGGCATTCATGTATGGGTAAAGCCGAACTCATCGTCACTAAGTCTAGGGCTGGAGTGGATATTAAGACAGACTCCTGGCATTAAACATTGGGATTTTCCCTACGCCCTGCTTACTTTGATTTTGTTTGTGTTATTTTTTTTTTATTATCAAAATTAGACACACCTCGTTGTACAGCTTTCCCTGATCTTTTGTGACATTTCACAAGGTTAAAACAAAAACTCTTATTTACTTAACACACCCCCCAGGCAGGATGATTTTCCTGTATACTCCATCACAACAGGATGGGTTTACATTTAAGGTAATGAAGCCTATCAGCCTGGTTCTCGTGTTCTCTTCCCTAACTCTCGGTTTCTAGTGTTGGTTAGGTGTTCCTTTTCCCCCAGCTCTCAGCTAGTTATATTCCCCTTATAGCTCTGTCTAGTGTTGATTACTATGTTCCCTCCTAGTTCTCAGCCTCTTAGTGTTGGTTATCATTTTCCTCCTGTCTAACTCTCAGTTTCTAGTGTTGGTTATCATTTCCTCCTGTCTAACTCTCAGTTTCTAGTGTTGGTTATCATTTTCCCCTCCTGTCTAAATCTCAGTTTCTAGTGTTGGTTATCATTTTCCCCCTGTCTAACTCTCATTTCTAGTGTTGGTTATCATTTTCCTCCTGTCTAAATCTCAGTTTCTAGTATTGGTTATCAATTTCCTCCTGTCTAAATCTCAGCCTCTAGTATTGGTTTATCATTTTCCTCCTGTCTAAACTCTCAGTTTATAGTGTTGGTTATCATTTTCCTCCTGTCTAACTTTCAGCTTCTAGTGTTGGTTACGGTGTTCACGCTCTCTGATTGTCATCTTCAAGAATTGGTTATAGTGGGGAATTAGAACCACTGGTGCACCTTGTCGGAAACTGTATACCAATCTTGTACAATTTGGTCATAGTGTTAAATTACCCAATGACTGTCAGTCTTTAGTCTGGCTATAAGGTTTCTTCTCTCTAGCTGTCAGTTTCTAGTAGTGGGTATCATGTTCCTTTCCTCTGGTGATGAATTTTTTCGTTGTTAGGAGAAACGGGAAATTTCCCCTGCAGCCTTTAGTCATTTCCCAAACCCTTCCGAGGGCTTACCAGCTCTTCCTAGAACTATAACTAGAACTAGAATTACCCCAGTAGGCCCCAGTAGGGGTGAGGGGGAAGTGGGGATAAATAGCAGCAAAGGTACTGTAGGCTTGTGTTCCTGAACTCCCGTCTTCAAGACTGGTCGGCAAGGTCGGCAAAAGATAGGACTGTGTGGTGGCCCCAAACAACACTAGGCTTGTTCCTCCACTGAATTACACAGAGACGCACGTCCAGGGCTAGGTATTTTAATAGTGAGGCGGCTCTCCCATTTAAAAACTTATTACACCATAAGACGTATGGTAGCAAGGACTTCCGCCCCATATAAAAAACAATGGATCACTACACTCCATTTGTAGTGATTATCATATACTAGTGTTTAATGATGTGTTTTTTTTACTTGCTTTTATTCATTTCGGTAAAACAAGAAAGGTCAGCCTCAAATAATGAAGATTCTCGTAAGGGATTGTAGTCCCAATTTAGAAGCGATATGATAATGGTGATATTTTTTCATTTTTTTTCCCCAACCTTTTCCCTTTTCTTACAGTTGTCATATAGTTGGGTGCGACAGCAGTGTGTCGCTAACAATTCTATATGGATAATACATGGTGAAAAGAAAGCTAGCTATGTTTTTCCCTTTTTATATTTCATTAGA